CCCCTGCCCAGGTGGGGGGGGGGTCTCCCCGCGGGAGCCGCAGCTCTGGGCTGAGGTCCGGCTCCCCGAGGGCACCTGCGCCACGTATCCTCTTACAGCCGCGGGGACGCCGAAGGCCGTTACCGAGCGTCCTCTGTGCATCAGGTTCTGCGCCAGACCCTTCCCAGACGCCACGTCCACACACCTTACCGGACGGCGCGCCCAGGCGCGAGTCACCTGCTGGCGGCGGCTCCTGGGGACAGACGCACCGGGACACGCGGTTTCTATGTAGGGCCCCCTCTCCGAGGCTTACCTGCTATACCTGCGGAGGCCCAGGCGGGCCGCGCAGGATGCGGAGGCCCCTGGGCGCTGCGCGGGGAGTGCAGGCTCTGGAGCCAGGCCCAGCTGGTTCAACTCGCAGCACGTGCTTCAACCTGCAGTGTGGGCCTGGGCAACTCAGGAGAGCCCGCTGGGACTCAGCGCCTCATCTGCAGGATGGAAAAATGACACAGACCTGCCCAACGGCTGTTATCTCAAGGACAAAGGGTGGTCATTCTCACCCTTGTCCTTATTCATATTCACGTTTTGCACTTAACCTTTTGAAAACACCTGTTACGAGCCAAGTGCCGGGCTAGATCTTGCAGACGCAGAGGATGATAGATACATCTTTAACAATTTAAAGCAGATGCTCCCCCTTCACAGTTTGACGCCTGGAGCACAAACTCTTCACAAGGCAAAATGTCAGAGCATTGCCGCCGCCGGGCGCCACCGGCTACTGACTGCCCGTGGGGAGGCAGCCGGGAGCCCCTGAACTAACCCAAGTCTAAGTGAAGTTGGCATGGGGAGCCGGTGAACCCTTCTAAGGCAGATGCCTCGATTCCCGTTGTGAGCTCACCAAGAATGGGCGTTGCCTCCTATGGGCTTTATCTCCTTGGGTCCAGAACCACACCTTTCTTTCATTCATGTATTCATTCATTGAACAAACATTGACTACACATAAATACGAGTTTGCACCCCCTGACCCAGGGTCTGGAGCAGAGGGAAACTTCCAGCTCTACTCAAGTGCACCAGCTTAATTCATCCAGCCAGTATTTGCACCACACTCAAAGTATCTGTCTCCCGAGAAATCGACACGATGCCAATATTTAGTTGAGCGGAGTGGAATGTTCATTTCATGAACAGGTGCAGAACGCCCTGAGCCAGGCACGGTCCAGGTTTGGGGAACACAGAGCTGTTGAAAATACCGCTTCCCCCAGTTCGCAGCCTGGAGGGGAGAAGAGAAACAGACCATCCCAATGTCTGTTACAAATGTCATGTTGCAAGTATGTAACCGAGTGCGCGGGACCCCACAGTCGGCGAGAACCAACTCTTCAGCCGGCATCACAGAAAGGGCTCCACAAAGGAGGTGACATCAGAGCTGCATCTGGAAGGATGAGTGGTTTACCAGGCACAGAAGGCAGAAGCCCAATTGGTACGGCTCCAGGAAAGTGAGATCCCAGATTTCACCGTTTATATGCATGCATTCATTCATCTCCCCCAGATGGCAAAACCAGTCAGAGGAAAATTGTAAACAACTTCAATGGCCCCCAAAAAGAGACTGATGAAATCTTTGCACTTTCAGGGCGCCTGGGTGGCTCAGTCAGCGAAGCATCCGACTCCTGAATTCACCTCAGGTCATGATCCCAGGGTCGTGGGATCAAGGCCCAAATCCGGTTCCTCACGAAGCATGGAGCCTACTTAAGATTCTCTCTCTCTGTCTCTCTCTCTCTCTCCCCCCTCTGCCTTGTTCTCTCTCAAAAAAAAAAAAAAAAAAAAGAATGAATCATGGCAAATGGCTTTGGGGAGGTTGAAATGACTTTTATATGTATCTATACCACCCCACTATAAACTATTTCCACAAAGTGTTTATCCCAGAAATATTTGGGAGATTGGGTGGCTTCCTTGTAAGGTTCAGGCAGGGAAACAATGAGCGGGGAAAATGTTTTCATTCCAATTCTGTGGAAGGCTCGATAAAGAAAGTACGGTACTACAGGCGCGGAGGGGATAGACAGTTCACACTGTGCCCAGGGTTGTGTTTTTGCAGGTGTAACCACCACAGCCTCAGCTCTCTGGATGATGTGGTTTTTGTCATCCTGGAGCATGACCCAGGCCACCTCTCCTTTCTAGACCTGCAAACAGCTCAAGAGAAGGGTTCTTCTAAGGTCTGAGAGTGTCCCCCGTCTCTCTAGAGTATGAAAAACGGGGCCCTGGGTGGCTCAGTCAGTTAAGTATCCAACTTCGGCTCAGGTCATGATTTCACAGTTCGTGGGTTTGAGTCCCACATCGGGCTCTGGGCTGACAGCTCAGAGCCTGGAGCCTGCTTCAGATCTGTGTCTCCCTCTCTCTCTCTTGGCCCCTCCCTCGCTAGTGCCCTGTCTCTCTCGGTCTCTCAAAAATAAACATTAAAATTTTTTCTAGAATATGTAAAACAGCCTAATGAAGGGTGGGGTGACAATATGGTTCTGGGAAGCTCTGAACTGGGGGTGGTTGGCGGAAGATGCGACCGCCTGTTCAAGAGGAGGAAACCAAAGCCCGGAGATGCCAAAAAGGGTTTGCCCACAGGCCCCCAGTTAGTTTAGAGCAGATTCGGAACTGGAGCCATTAGTGAACTGGGGGCTTTCGGTTCTTGATCCAGTCACTGTACTGTTAGGACCAAGGAGTGGTCGCTTGAAGGGAACACCAAAGAGTAGGCATTCTATCGGTGGGTCTCCAGTGCTGCCCAGGTAATCCAGTCCCTGTGGGAAAGGTAGGGGCCCTGGGCTTGGTGACTTCAGTCATCAGAGTCAACCTAGTTTGGGCTTCTCGTGTGTTCCTGCTAAGGTGGTGATCAGTGAACGGGAAGAGAAAGAAAGAACCGTTTCACTTGTTTGGCTCATTTAGTTCTTTTTATTTATTTATTTTGAAGGAGAGAGAGAGAGAGAGAGAGAGAGCGCACACGCGCAAGTGAGGGAGGGGCAGAGAGAGAAAGAGAGAATCCCAAGCAGGCTCTGCACTGTCCAGACCTGAAATCAAGAGTCGGACCCTCAACTACTGGGCCACCCAGACGCCCCTCATCCAGTTGTTAAAGTAATTCCCCCACGTGGCTGTCCCTGTGTCCTGCTCATTATGCAGATGAGGAAACTGAAGGCCAAGAGGTTGGTAAGCAGGAGAGACTGTCAGCCAGAATGTTCTGGTTGCCGTGGCAATTCCATTTCTCACGGTCAACCAGCCCTGAAGTTTTTGATCCGTGGATGAGCCACTCAGGAGGTTAGTGGATGTGTGCTCACCCCTGTGAGCGCAGATGGGGAAATCACAGTTGCAGAACCTTCTGTGGAGACCCATGTCCCCCCAGAGCCTCACTCGACCCTCACGGGCGCATCCTACATCCTTTTACGATGAGGCCACTGAGGCTCGAGAGGTTAGCTTGCTTCTCCGGTTTATAATTTGCCTAGAGCTTGGTCTTGAACCCGAGACTGCCTCCAAAGCCAGCGTTCTGGATGCTACATCAAAAGGTGTCCCCGGACCCCCAAAGCTGGGGACAAGACCCCTGGACCAGCGCCGGACCACCGAGGTACTGACCCCAACGCCCGCTGAGGGCCTGGGGGCCTCTCAGCCACCTCGTCTGAAATGTGCCACTCTGTCCCAGCACGATGCCAGGCACAGG